CTGCTGGAAAATACGTATTCCATTGTTTTTAATAGTCAGGCTTTCCTCACTTTGTAAAGCCGTTCCTGACCTTCCTCCCTTCCCCCTTTCTCTCTGCTCCTTTGTTGCCTTCTACAAACTTCTATTAATACATGGATGACATATAATTTGTTCACATGGGTGCCCTTTCTACCAGACTTTGACAGAGCAGGGCCCTGTCTTTTTTTAATCATCAAAATGTAAAGGTGTGGCTCTAAACCAGTCAATAAATATTACCCGGGGCTAATTAAAACAATGCCTTCACCTGTAAGATTTCCTCTCATATTTGAACTATTCCCAGAGATGGTTTTGAAAAGGAAGATGGGTTAATATAAAGAGTATAAAAGACAGAGTTTAAGTCTGGATAAAAAAATTAACCCGAGATTACTTATTGCTCAGCGGGCAAGTAATGTCCAACCCTTTGAAAGAGCTAGAAATGCTAAGAAATTTCTCAAATGGATGCATGGCAACAGAACCAGAAAGAAAACATGAGCATAAATGTGGTAAAAACACTGCCTCAAGGACAGAAGCCTAACACTTGAAATGATACAAGGCCAATATGTGCCAAAGCCTGAGGAACTAACAGTACTGGTTCTCGTTTTTCCATCAGATGTGACCCCACGAGAAAGAAACACATGGAAGAAACCACTGACAGAGTAGACGCAACTACTTTGGACAATGTTCTGTAAACTTTAAGGATGGCAGGATCCATTCTAAATTTCTGAAAATGTGTTGGTAGATTCTGGAGCTGAACGGACACGAGAGACCACCACCAACTCCCACCACTCCCTTCATTTACAAGGGGAGAAATGAGGGGTTTAAGAGGGAACTTACCCAAGTCTCACAGTGTTAATTGGAAGATAAGAAATGAGGACAGTGGCTTCCACTTTATCTGGGGCTATTCCATTACCCACACCACCCGAAGGTGAGTTACATTCTATCTTGTTTTCTTTTGTTTACACATAAAGAATCATTTTTCTTTCTTAATTCTAACAGTCTGTAGGTGGTATCTAGACTTTATTTAAATGTTAGAAATGGGTTCTACAACTCCTAGATTTCTTTCATCTGCCACTCTTTTCTTACCCTAACAGGAACAGCAGCTTTCAGAACAGTCCCATCGGGTTTTGGTAATAATGCTGACATCAGAACATACCACCTTAAGGCATCAGTCATACTCGTTTGTAAAACCTAGCTATCAACTTCACTGATATTTTATTAAAAGTACCACCATTTCTCTCCCTAATCCTACCGAAGCAATTTCATTTTACAGTAATAAGAAAGAGGAACAGGTGGGAACAGTGACTATTCAACAGGCAGGATTGGAATTAGAGCATCTGAGGACCAGAAGCAGTGGGATATAACACATCTAGCCAATAGCGCATTTTAAGTCCGCAAACAGGAACTCTGGGCTCCTCCAATGATTATAAAGTCAGTACCTAATAATGAAATCATCCAAGTTTAGTAACAGTATTACTGACTAAACGCTTGCCATGTGTGAGGGACTACTGTTGTTGTTCAGTCAGTAAGTCATGTTTGACTCTTTGCAACCCCATGGACTGCAGCCCACCAGGCTCCTCTGTCCATGGGATCTCCCAGGCAAGATACTGGAGCGGGTTGCCATGTCCTTCTCCAGGGATCTTTCCAGTCCAGGGATGAAACCCTGTCTCCTACAGTGGACGCAGATTCTTTACCACTGAGCCATTGGAGAAGCCCTTTAGGGATTATCCCAAGAGCTTCACATATGTCATCTCCAATCCTCACAAAGTAACCAAAGGGTAGGTATAATACAGATGACGAAAATCAGCAGTAACAGCACCAGGATTTCTACATACAAGGGGCTCACAGGTGGCAAAATGGAAGGGAATAGAGGATAAGGAGGGATGTAGTTCCAACCCTTCTTACAGAGGTAAATCCCTGTTTACTAGATTGTATGTGTATCTGAGGTAGTGAGAACCCTGATGTACAAACAGAGCATAATAATTTTCCTTAGCGGACTATTTATGGAGCAGGGTGGGAGGGGCTGTAGCCACTCTTCCCTCCATCCTACCCATCTCTTGGACCTCACGTAAACTGAGACGTTAAGAGACGGAGGGCTCTGTCCAAGGTGATGGAGCAAGTAAGTGTGCCAAGAGCTGACATCTGAGCAAGTCTGTGTGGTTTCAAAGCCCTTTCTCTTTCTACTCTACCATACTACTTCCTTCTCTTTAAATCCCATGCTGTCTGAGAATCATGTAAAATTAGTAGCAATTTCACAAATCACAAGATGTGAAAAATAAATACTTCCTAGCACCCTAAACTATCATCTACAAAGTCAATTATCTAATGCCCTAGAATAGCAGGCATGCTACAGATTCAAAACTTCCTAAAACAGGACTTAAGTACATTTTAAAGTATACATTCACAAGCAAATGACAGGAGTTTTTTTTTTTTTTTTTTAACATTTTTTTTGTTGAGGTTTGAGGGTTGTGGTGGGTATGGCGGGGGGGATGGATGGTAAAAGAGAAGAGAAAACAGTCTCTCCTTTGAGACAAGCTGCTTTAGGACCAAGATGATTCCCAGGAATGAATGAATTTTTGAATTATGCCACATAGTGGGTTTAAAATTGGATATAATCCAATAAATCCATTATCTTCATCATAATTTGAGAGCATGAAATGCCCATATTTTAAGAGGGAACATGCTTTCATTCACTCATTCATCAATCTCCAGGTAGGCCTGGACTAGGATATTACAGAGGCCACAGAGATGTTCATGGTATAGTTCCTGCTGAGCAGTATTCAGCGGTCCCCAATCTTTTTGGCCAGGGACCAGTTTCATGGAAAACTATTTTTCCATGGACTAGAGGGCGGGGGTAAGTGTTTCAAGATGATTCAATTACATTACATTTATTGTGCACTTTATTTCTAATCTAATGCTGCCGCTGATCTGACAGGAGGTACCAGTCTGTGGCCCAAAGGCTAGGGACCCCTTTAAGTAGTTATAATCTAAATAGAAAAATCAAATAAATGTCTGAAAGGATTAAAGAGCAGCCAATGAACAAATTCTAAAAGGTTGGGTTGTCAAGAAGTGGTAGAACTGAAGGAAGGAGAAAACACTGGACTTTTCAGGAACCAATGGTAGCACTTTAAGCCAGCTCTTGAAGGCAAGGGAGGGAACCAAAATTAGAGGCCAGGGACACAAAGGTCCAGGAAGAGGGGAAAAGACAGGCTATTAGAGAACAAATCCACAAATATATAGATGTTCTCACACAAGGGCAGAGTGATATGCGTACAAAGATATTCATGGGGTTATGGTTAAACACGTTATGGCACATCCACACAATGAAATGCAGCTATAAAAATGAATGAGGCAGCTTTGTATGTACTGATGTACTTATGCAAGCGAAGAAAGCAAGATACAGAGAGTGTGTATAGTATACCGTTTGTGTGTTTACAAAAGATAATATTTATACATATAGGCTTGGATATGCTTCAATATTCACAGACTATCCATGGAAAGATGCAGAGAAAGTTATGAACAGAGGATAACTCTGTTAGCTGAGAACACAGGTTGGTTAAAACCAAGGGACTATGCTCTGAAGAAGCAGGTGGACTAGAGAAGATCCTAGGTATCAGGGTAAGAGGGCTGGAGAGCAGGCAAACTCTAGAGCCAAGCTTTCTCACCAGTGGCATTACTGACATTTGAGGCCAGATAATTCTTTGTTACAGGGGCTGTTCTGTGCATTTTAAGAGGTTTAACAGTATTCTTGGCCTCTACCCCTTAGATGCTGGTAGCACCCTGCCCCAACCCAGACTGCAGCTCCCAAAAACGTCTCCGATGTTAAGGTGCCCTGGCAGGGAAAATCACCCCTGGTTGAGAACCACTGCTCAAGAGCCACAATGTAAACATGTAAACAGTTAATGTACAAAACACTGTTTTACATTCCTGTAAATTAATAAATGCAATATACACTCCGATATGGATCTGAGGACTATACTGGACATTGTTTTGAAATGACCTTCATATATGTATCATAGTTTCTCAAGTTGTGATAATTCAGGTCCCTTCCCAAATCTGAAAACTATCATTTTTAACCAAAACTACTCCATCACAGATGTCTCTTTTCTGCATTTGTTGAATACAAGTGATACAAGTTACACAAAAAGACTAAATACATTTTCAGCAGTACACAGAGGGTGAGCCAGATTCCCCAGTGGGCTTCCCAATGATGCACCGACCCCCTTAGATCTCTTCGGCATAATTTCAGGAGTTAGTAGACCAGAGCCACCACCTCCAAATAGCTTGTGTTCTCTAGACCCAAGATCTTCTAGGAAGCCACGGAAATCTAACAGCAGACTGTATTTTGGCTCAGCTTTTGAAAAATTAATATAATTATTGATACAATAAGAACATAATTTCTTATATTATACTAATAATGTTTCTTCTCATAACTCTTAACGACCACACAAAGTACAAGACGCTGTTCAAAACTAATGAAAGACATCATTCCTGACTGTAAGATTATAAAATGAATGATTAGTTTATAAAGCCAAGAGAGGCTTTATCTAGGTGCTACATATCACAATTTCATGAAGTTTAAAGCCATTTCTAATATACCACAATGAATGGGGGTGGGGGGGGGGAATCAAGGCATCCAACAGGCTTGTATATTTTTTGAACACAGATCTAAAACTTTTGTTGATTCTCCTGTGTCTTTTCTTTTCCCAATGCCAGAAATCCAGTAACACTCTGGCAATCTTGGTTTCGTATTCTGAAGTCAATGATTCTTCCAACACTGTTGTAGGTGAAAAGTTCTGGATTTCATTCTCATGAAATCATGCTCTTCAAATTCTAGCATTGTGCCGACTACTTGTGCTTAGCTCTCAGAAGGTTGGCTCTCATTTGTGGAGGTGACCTCCCGTGACCTGACTCTGCAGTAAATACACCTGTGCGTCCTTATGGACGGTGCTTACATGTGTCCGCGGCGAAAAAAAGAAACTCACCATTCTAACTACTTCAGGGTAAGTCTGCTCTGTCAAACAGCCTCTGCTTATTGTAATGTAGTCCACCAGTTCATTAAGAGTGGAGCGCTTGTATTCTTTCATTTTAAGATCAGATAGCGTGTCCATGAAGTCAAAAATGACACAGCACTGCTGAAGTTTCTTTAGGAACAGTTCAGGCTGCTCTGAGGATGGAACGTCTAAGAAAAAAAAAGGAAATGGTGTAAGTCTGTCATCAATTTCTAGGTAACAGGAATTCTCTGTGAAAGTTAACTTCAAAAGCAAGCTCAAAAAAATAAGAATTCACATGACAACAGTGTTCTTTTAAAACAGTTACACATGGACAGGAGGAAATACCACATCCACTACTTCAGAGATCTTGTCTTCAGAAACTACATGGTACCAACACAATTGACAGCATTTGCTATTTCGCCACCAAAGATTGACCAAAATCCCAAGAGCCCTTAGAGAGTTGAAGCAAATTTTAACCAAAAACATCCCACTGTCTACACTCTTAAGCCAAAAACACTGGAAAAGGTCAAACGTTCCATTATAAGGTAGACACAGAATTTTTCACTGTTGGTTTAAATTAATTTTACTAAAAAATTTAAAAGTAGAAATGTCAGTTGATTCATTTTAATTTCACGCTGACATCCTTGGTATTTAAGGCAACTGTTGTGAGTATTTATATTTTTTGTTTTGTTTTGGCTTGGTATCTCTGAAGCTTTCTTGTCAAAGACACTCAAAAGATCAACAGAATGAAGCAATATAGACTCTCTCAAAAAGAGTCCTATCCATAATAGGACAACGCAAGCAAACTCTACTTAAACCTAGGCTCTCCCTCTTGACCCATCTTCTTCTCTTACAGGGGAGAAAACCACTAACATGCTCATTAATGTGTTCTCAGAATAAACATCTGCTCTTTTCCTACAAACAGCAGGTCAGACATTTGGTGTGGTGTCACTAAAAAATACGTAGAAATTCAACACTAAATTCCCCACCTAGAATGGAAACCTGACCTAGAGTTGGACTTGAAGGACACCAACTAATGGTAAATAGTTCATTCCACTTCTATCTTCTTTCTACTACTTTATTCCACCAAACTGGAGCTTCTCTGGAAAGGTAATGATATTATGACAAGAGAACTGCTGCTGCCTTCATCCAAGGCGATTAACTCATAATCCTCAGAACACTCTCTGAGGTAAGCAGGTGCCATCATTATTATTATTCTCCATTTTTCACAAAGAAAATTAGAAACAATCATGGCGGTCCCACAATGAATGAGTTGTGAAGCTAGGCACAGCAGCCGCATCTCTAACCACACTCCCATCTTCCTTCTGTACAGTTCAAGAGGGGCTGGAACCATGTTTGTCCAGTCACTTGCAACCATCCCCAGCTGCCAATCTCCCAGGAAATGCACTGCAATGGCCTTGCAGCACGGGCCACCTGATTCCTGGAGTAAGTGCAAAGGCTAACAGCACCCATCTTACACAGTCACCAGCAACCCCAGCAGAGGGCAGACAGGGCTAGACTGCTAGTCACAGGATCCACCTGGCTCCTCCTCTCCAGGCGCCCTCTCCTCCTCACAACCCACAACCCAAGTGCCAGCCCATGGACCTGGGACCTCATGGATCATTCTCCCCAAAACTGATGTCAACTTTAGGTGAAGCACAACGGTATCTGAAAGTTATCACATTTCTCTACCAGATATAAGGGAAGAAGAAATAGCTGATCATTTTTAAAGGTATACAGCACCACTGCTATTCTCAGCAAAAACAAGTTAAATATTTAGAAAGTATTCTCAACCAGTTGCCCCTCTCATCACCACCCCCCAAAGTTCCCCCAAAAGTCTAACATATTGATTTAGTAGCGTCAAAGAATTTGAATTAAGCCACGAGATGTCTTATTCTATTCCCCTAAACTTAACACTTTCAAAACATCTAAGCTTTATAAGGACTAAATCAGACAAACCAAGTGTTTTCTTTAATTGCTATCTCCTTCAGGTGTTTACATAAACAAACAAAAACTAAACAAGGCTGCTTATCAACATGACTATATATCCTTATCCAATGGCTAACTACATGAACATAACTATCATGGTTAATTACTGAAGTCTTCTAAATTCTAAATCAGATCCCACACCTCAAAGCAGAAGAGGAGTTTTGACACTGCACAGAGAACAAGAAAAGGCTTATTAATGCATGAAAGTCTTTAGGACAAATTTTAATGAATCTTATTTTTGATACAGTAATTTTGATAAAGCTTAAAAACCAGACCATGTACAAAGAGAACTCCTTAACTCAGCACATATGCATTATAAAAGCATGTATAAATGACAGTTTTTCCTCCAAAAAGCAAATCATCATTTAAGTAGTGACAACAATGATTATTCTTTGTGGTCAGTGCAATGATACTCAAATAATTCACATTTGGCTATCTAAAAAAATGCAGACAGTTAACATTTAGTCCTCTTTCTTAATTTTAAACAACTGAAATTTATTCTCTTTTAATCCAAATTGCTATAATGTCAAAGATAAATGTGAAGCAGGCTATCCAACTGCCCAATAATGATAATTAGCTCACATTTACTGACCACTATTGGATACAAATACTGGGTAATATTCTAAGCACTTTACATATTTTATATGTCACTCAGTCCCAACAACAACCCTATGCAAGAGGTACTATTTCCCACTTAACAGATGAGGAAACCAAGACACAGAGAGATCCAGTGACCTACGCAGAGTCTTAGAGCTAATAAGCAGTGGAGAAAGGATTCAAACTCAAGCTAACTGACTCCAGAGCCTGAACTCTTCACTCTGTGCAACAATCAAACTCAGTGAAACACGGGAGTAATACCATATTCCATAGAGAAGGTATGCACAAAGAGAAAAGAGGAAGAACACAGAAAGAAAACAACCAATTAATTTCCAACATGCCCTCAATATAAAGTATGGTGCTGAACCCCGCCAGCCCATTTCCCAGAGATTAACACATACAGCAACAAAGCTATGTTTTATCCTTTATCACAGACTAAATTCCTCTAAAATAACCTCCTTCCCCTAAATGTAAGAACTTAAATAATCAAGACTGAAGAAAAAAAGGAGAGTCAAGACAAAGAAAAAAAGGGAATGGTGTCCTCAAAGAACCAATCCCATTATAACAATATTTAAAAATTGTGTTTTCATTTGTGCTGAAGGATGCCCTAACTCACAATGGTCCAAGCATAGGGCTCTTCGTTTGGCCCTCAGACTGCCCCATATGGCTGTGCTGCTCCTACGCACCTTGCCCTCATCTCCCCTAGTTCCAGCAGGATGTAAAAGAGGAGAATGTGAAAGGGGAGGACCGGCCGGGATCAGAGACGGAACACTGAGCAGCGCAGATGGTTCCAGTGATGTCAGTTTAATGTCTACAGAACCAGTCCCAGGAGCAGATACAAATATTCTTTCTTAAAGAAACATGAGTAAAAAAAGGATCAGGTACTAGCCCATAAAGAAAAGCTCATAAATGACAAAAGGAAGAAATCAGACAAGCAGTACATTTTGGCTACACGCAGTAACACTAGATTTTAGCAACTCAAAACTACCCACCTCCTAAATCCAAGCCACCTGAGAATAGAAACATTCAGTAACTTAGATGAAGAAAAAAAAAATTATAGACATTTCAAAATAAATGTAAACTAGAAAAACTCAGGGTCACTGCAGAGTCCCAAAGCACGCCATGCAGTGGGTGCTTGTGTAGTCCCTCTTCCGTGGGAACCTCCGTCCCCAACAGACCGTCCCTACCCCCAGGAGAGGGATTCCATAAAACCATAACCATAAATAATGAAGAATCAGTAAGTGGTTATATAATACCATGAAGGTCATTAGCACAGCAACCCATCCATCCAATGTTAGTATTTGTTTGAAGGGAAGAGTTAACTGATCTAATGATCTTAGCTTGATAAGATTTCATAAGGTCAGATTCCACTATTCTGGAACAACTCCTAGAATTTAAGCTGAGTTCCAGAATATGTTCCTCACCCAAGAAGATAATGTAATGACCAGTTAAATGGTCGATCTTCATGACACTTGCATTTCGAACTGTAGTGTCCTCATCTTTCCTTTTCAGCATTAGTCATTTTCTCACACGTTTTTTTCTATCACCATCTCTCAGCATCCTCCTATCAATTTTCATTAGTAAGCTGAACTGATTACTCTCACCTCCAAGGTGTTCATACCCAAAGAATTTTAAAATTTACAAGCCCCAAAGTAATGGGAAAACAGGCACAGAATTCAACAGTAGAGAAAAGATGCAAGTTCAGATTAAGAGCCAAAGATTCTCCTTATATCTAAAGAATAGTCAACAGGTGTTATACACACTTAGTTATACATGTAATACACGCATGCCGACACACACACACACATACCACTCACCCTCATTATGATTTCAAGGGATGGATGTTTATTATTTGTTTATAACTGGAAGAACATTCTTTCCTCCCTAATCAAGAGCTTACATTATTCCACCCCTTCTAAAGTCTGGGACACAGAATCATGGACCCAATATCAGCCCATCTTCTCTGAGGGCCTGACTCAATTTTGGACTTTGCAGAGAAGAAAGCAGCAAAGGCAGAAGAAATGAAACATGAGCTCAATGTCCTTTGGGTATGGTACTCTGGGACTCCAGTTAAACTTAATTGTTGAAAATCATTGCAACTTGCAAATAAATATGCCAACTGAGTAAATAAAGAAAACCCACATCATTAAATTCATTAAGCCACGATCTCACAGGAAGAAAGCAGATTGGTTTTTAGGGAAAAAAAATAAAATAAGAGATGTGGGCTGATAATGCATTTACACATAAGCTGTTTAAATGTATGTAGATACATATTTTCATAAAATGGTCTTGTTTGTACTGGAAGTTAAGCAGTAACATTGTTTGAGCTCCTAATGAATAATATTTATAATCAGTTATGTCCATTCAAAAGATCTGGAAAAAAAAATTCTAAATTAACAATGCTTTTCACCTGAAAACACCCTAAGCTATTACTCCTGTAGCCCTTTTACATCCATTTCCCCAACTCAAACAACAACAACAGAAAAAATCGAAAGCACTCAGCATGTCAATGTGGTCTCTGATCCCTCCACTCCTCCTTTAGAACTTTCCCTAGGGCAAACACATCCCCGTCCAAGAGTGCTATCAGCCCCTTACACATGAC